CCACATTTTTCTTGGCTGTTCTTAAATGTTTATTCTTCCACATAAACTTTAGAATTATTTTGTTAAGAAGTACCATAGGATTTTTCATTGGGATTGCATTAAAGATAAGTATTAATTTGAAGACAACTGTCTTTATAACCCTCAGCTGCTGCTGTTTAATAATAGTGATAATGATAGTAATAAATTAATAGTAGCAGCCAACATTGATCAACTGCTTATTGCAGTTGATCCTCTTCTCAGCTCTGTTTCCCACATTTAAACCTCATAACAATCTACAATAGAGATGTTATTAGGGCTATACTCATTTTATAGAAAGAAAAATAGATGCACAGAGATGTTAAAAAACTTGCCGTGTTCACACAGCTTTAAGAAGAATGAGGATTCTTTTCTAGGTGGTTTGGTTCCATAGCCTATGCTGTGCCATGAGTCTACACTGCTTCTCCACTTACTTATACTTTCTTCCTGTCCTTCACAGAGTTTTGTAACTTTCTTCCTATATGTCTTTACAGGTTTGGTTAAATTAGTTCTTACTAGAATTTACATTTTTCCTAATTGGTCTTGCTGAGCTCTGGCAAAGCTATTGATTGTTTTCAGGGAATTCCTCCAGTTTCATCATCTTCTTATTAGTCTAGTAGTTTGATTCTTAGCTTTCCACGAAGATACAACCATCATTTTAAAGTAATGACGTTTGGCCCCCTTTCCTGTATTTATCTCTCATTAATTTTCTTGTGTTATTGCAAGACCTGTGGCACTGTCCAGGACAGTGGTCCCTAGCTACACATGACTACTGATAATTTAAGTTAATTGAGATGAAATGAAATAAAAAATGCAGTGCCTCAATTGTACTACCCACATTTCAAGTCCCCAGTAGCTTGTGCTCACACAGCTTTAAGAAAAACGAGGATTCTTTTCTGGGTGGTTTGGTTCCATAGCCTGTGCTGTGCCATGAGTCTACACTCATGTAGCTTGTGGCTCCATACTGACAACTGGCTTGGAACATTTCTGTCATCACAGAAGGTTCTGTGGGAGAGGGAGCTAGAGCTTTCAGATCAGTGTTAAACAGTAATAGTGAAATGGGCTGTCCTGGTTTTTCTTCCTAACTGTTAAAGTGAATACCTCTACACAGTGATGTATCATTAAATGATGTTGAGTTTTGAACTCAAATTTTTTGATGTATTTTACATTTTGTTAAGGAAGTCATACCTATTCCCAGTTTTCAGAAGCACATATGAAACATTTGGAATGGGTAGTGAGTTTTAATAACTTCTTAGAATCACAAAGTTTTCTCTGTGACAGGCAAAATTCCCCCTCATTCTTTAAAATTGTCTCACCTCTCCTGGATTTTATCTGCCAATATTTTTCAGATGTCATCCATGTGCTTGATCTCAACTATTCTCTACTTCTAGTGTCTTCGTCCAGTTTTAAAAAAATCTAGATTATGTAATTATCATAAAATGAATTAAACAGTGATTCCTCTATTTCTTTTCTCTGGAACAGTATGTATCAGATATGGATCATCTGTCCCTTAAAGTCTGGTAAAACTTGGGTGACAAAAATCTGGGTCTGGTGCTTTCGTTGGGGGTGGGGTTTTCTCTTATCTCCTAGTTCATGCATTTCATTTCTACTGAGTCTAATCCCACTGCTTACTCCATCTATTAAATTATATTTCAATGAATAAGCTTTTTCAATTCTAGAATTTACATTAGGTTCTGCAAATTTGCCTTTGTTGAATGTCCTTCTTCTTTGGTTTGATTTCTTTATATACTTTAAATGTTTTTATTTTACATTCTTTGGAGTTGTTCTCCAGGCCTCTCTGCTTGCTTTTTCTCATGTTACTTTCGTTCACCTTCAGATGGCTTGTCATCTAGGGCCGAGAGCCCATCTCCGAGTGGGTCCTGGCTGCGGGGAGCTGCAGGTTGGGTGGGAGGTGCACTGCCTCTGTCAGGGGCACAGGGGTCACGATGGTCATGGACACACATGGGTTAGTTTCCTGACTTGGTGCTTCTGTATCACATGGGTGCTAGAACATCTCACCTTTATTCCTCTGCCTGCTTCTTTGAGTCATGGGGTAGCTTTTCCAGCCCCTCCCTATTTAAAGTGTGGTGCAGCCCTTTGGAGCCTGATTTCTACAAGGGGTTCTGCTCTCGCCTTCTGCCTTGCATTGGTTGGTGTCCTGTATCTGCATGAGCACCAAGGTCAGCGCCTGCAGACTCCCAGGCCTGGAACCCCACAGCTTGGCTCCCTGCTTAGATTTTGGTATTCCCTTTTCTCCCATGTATCTAGGGGTTTCCTCCTCCTTCTTTTGAGCAAGGCTACATGTTACCATTTCTAAAATCATATTTTATCTAGAATTTCTGTATCTATTATATTAATCACAAGCCTGCAAATTGTTCTAGATTTCTAAGTGGTTGATTTATTGATTTTATTTTTAAATGAAGGCAAGTTAAGTGGGAAACAAGTAGGTATTAACCTACACTTTTTAATTTCTCATTTTATTTATCATCTAAGAGCACAGCTAAATACTTTTTACTTCTTTGCATTAATATTTCATTGTTTTATTTGTGTCTTAGTACAGTAAGTGTTTAAGGATGTTTTTGCCTATTGAAAAGGCATGTACATATCTGCTTTGTATCTTTAAATTTTTTATTCATTCAGAAACTTGGAAAGTCATGTTACTATATCCCCTGCAAATACAATTTCTCTATTCTTTTATGTTTAACAGTTTTGGCTTCATATAATTTGTTACTGTATTATTTGTTGAAACCTCCAAGGCCTGGATTATGTTTGAACTGGGCAGAGCCACAACAGCCTTAACTTCATTATTGGGCTTTCAATTAGACTTTTAAAAAAATTCATAATGGCACTCATATTCTTTTTTTGTTACAAAATGTATAATGCAGAATTTAGGAACAAATCTCAAAGGAGGAAATATATCCTACAATGAAATATACACTAAAAATGGAAATAGGTAATGTTTTAAAACTTGGGATGTAGAGGTGGGGAAGGAGAATGGGAAAAGAAATCTAAATATATTGTATTACAGGGACAACATGATAGAGATGGTTACATTCATAAGGTTAATAGAAAGGTGTAGATTTGATACATGTTGCCTTTTTAAGATTTTATTTATCGTTTCTGTTCTCCAGTTTCTTGTTCATATGATTGACTGAATGGAGAGGAATAGGTGTATTAATAAGTAAGTGAAGGACAAGTTTTTTTCAAGTTTCCACATTTCCTCCTAAGTTAGAATATTTTTCATAAACATATGTTTGAGTTTAGGAGCGTTGCGTGCGGATATAATATGGATGAGTCACTGCCCTCCTTTCCTCCAAACTGTCAGCAACTGTGCTGGAAGCACAATTAGGTTTGTGGTTTAAGCCAAATCCCAACCCCAACAAGCCTTTAAATCTTTTTGAATATGAATGAGGTGGAGAGCCTAGGCAGCTGTTTCCAAGTATGTAGTAGGAAAGGAAGAGAAGAGGGAGAAAGGATGAGCTGGTTTTCCAAGAAATAAAATTTCACAGAGAAGCTGGAGAACAGGTCTTCAAAATGTCACTCTACAAATCTAAAGTAAATTTGCGTTTCACATTCTTCTAACACAGCATCTCTGTGCAACCTTTCTAGCAATGGCAACACCACGTCCCATTTCCATTCATCTTTAGACGGGTCGGATCTGAAGGCTCCCTGATCTGAGATGTTCTCTTTGGAAGGTGTTGACATCGTTGAATTTAACCCCTACGAGTTTCTGATCTTAGGTTTGAGATTTTGATTAAGGAGAGAGGGAAGTAGGCTTGAGTGACATCACAACTGAAAGGGGGGAAAAAGGAAGAACTCTAGAGGGCTCATGTCCAACTTTTACACTGTGTCTTCTCGGGGGTATTTCAAAATATTTTCAAATAGCGTGTACTTTTTGGATATGTGAGAGCATTTCCAAGCATTAAGAAAACCAACTGGATGTTTCAAATATTTGGAATTATTCCAAGGCCAGGAATTCCAGATGTCAGTAAGGAAGCCATTGCATATCTCTGTTTAAGTAATCAAGTGGGCTTTAAGGTGTTAGGAGGATAAAAAGGCATACCCCTCAATTCTTTCTTTTTAAGAGGATATAGTACCTACTCCGTAAGGCTATCTGGAGGACAAAATTAGTGTGAATGGCTAGTCAATAAACTTGAGTGTCTCCCCTGTCCTCCTTGCTCTTTCTATCTCCTAGGGCTGTTGTGGCTAAAAGCAGCATTTACAAGGACACAGCACCGTAGCCTATGCAGTGTACTACTGCTGTTTGCCACTGCTAATACTGACCCAATAAATAACTGTGTGATGGATACCGGTGTAAATAATAACCGGGCCTCCTGGCCATCTGTCCTCCCATAATCTGTCTTCCCCCTCACTCCTGGACAGCTACACGAATCACACATGTCTTTAAATTAAGAACTTGACTGCTACAAATGTCTTGTGAAAGTGCCAATGTTATGATAATACACTTTTTGCATGAAATGCACTTCGTTTTACTTCCATATTCCTGTATTTCATGTCAGGTATCCGCCATGAGGCGAGTTCTTGGCTTCTCCAAGCAAGAGTCATCCAGATGGAAAAAATTCCAGGATCTACATATGCAAGCTTAACAGTTTGGCTTTTGGTTTATTCAGAAGTAATAAATTCAGACCATCTTATTTTTTACTCTAATGCTTACTCTAAAATCTTAAGCATTATTAATAATTAAGCATTCAATAACCTAGTACTTATTTAAGGAGCATCGAACTGTTAAGCTCTAAGCAACCAGGGCCAGCGCTGCCCCCTAGGAGTGAGTAGCTTAGTGCAGATGTGATGGATACGGGTCCCCTAACTTTCCTGATGCAAACTGGGGCACCGTAGGGGCAGCCATGCCCTGCTGGGGACCTTTCGTGCAGGGAAAACCCTTCTCTGCCTGTGGTTTGCTGCAAGAGGAGATTGGCAATTCCCTTCGTGAAACAGGCTTTAGAAACCCCGCTGTAAGGACTTACTCAGCGTGACGGACTCATTGATCTTGAAGCTGCAGAGGACCCTGTCCACGTTGCGGGCGTGTCGGAAGCCATTCCCTCTCACGACTACTTGAAATGATTCTGAAAATGAAGAATAATGACAAAACACGTTATTTGACTGCAGACTGTTAACTTAAGTTTCCCATCTGCCTGGACTTGGGCATTTGTTCACTATTTCACCAGGCTTACTATATTTCATAGTTGAGGTGAGAGACCGGAAGCAGCCATGGGGGTACCTTTTACCACTTACCACCTCCTCACTGGGTGTCCACAGAAGGCATATGACTTCTTCTTTTGAGTTCCTACATTCTTGCCCTTGCACTTGCTGTTCCTCCTGCCTGGAATGCCTTTCGCCCCTCTCTCTGTCATTGGGATCTTAGCCCTCTCTCAAGTCCTGGCAGTTTTTAAAACATCTCCACAGCCAGCAGACCACACGGGAGGGTCTCTCCACTTAACTCCATCAGCTGAGCTTCTCTCCTGTTTTACACATTGGACTCCCCTGTTCTCCCATTAGGATTTCTTGAAAGCCCAAGGTGCCTACAATGTTGTTTATCACCACTGCCTTACAGCATTCACAGTCTGTCCTGGACAGTGTAGCATGTGATCATGTACCATCTGGTGGTGTTTTTTGTCTTTTCTTCCACAGTCCCTTAGGTCAGGATTGTTTGATACTGCTTAAGCCCTCCTATCTCTGCTGGGCATGCATCAGTCATATGCAGGGTCATGTAGGAGTAACTGTGCTTGGCAAGGAATCAAAGCCTTGCTTCTCAGTGGTCAGTTGTCAAACATTAGCTGTTAGAACCAGTGTCGGCTGCTCAGTGCTGCATGCGCTTCTCTCTGAAGAGAAGTGAGAATATGTCTCAGATCTCTAGCCTGAATATTAATTTCCCATTGGCATAATGCATATTTAATTAGTACAGATCAATGAAGACCTTATAAAGCAAAAATAATGATTCTCTACAATAGTCTTACCAAAGGAAAAATCCAGCTACTCAGTTGGCTAAATGTTTGAAATATTTGCTTATGGTTGATAGCAACTAGTAGTCAGTGCTCTGCTTTCTTTTATTTTTATCATTCTTTTGTGTATAAATTTTGGGATTTGGGATAATGCTGTGTGGCATATAAAAAAGAAATAGACTACAAGTCAAAGGCAAAAAGAGGTATTTGTGAAAGTGGATCTTAAACTGTAAATTGCTATCCAAATGGAGATTTTTATTGGAGAAAGAATGGAATTAGAGGACCAGCATAACAATTGCAAATTTTAATAAATGTCATGAGTGCACGTCACCTTCTTTCCCAGGAAAAAACTCTAGAGAACATGTTTGCCAAGATAATAATAATGGATGTTAACTGCTCTCTCATGCACCAAGCCCTATGCTAAGCTTTGTACATGTCTGATGTCATTTAAACCTCACCACAGCCCAGGAAGCACAAATGAGAAAACTGATCTCAGTGAGATTAAGCAATTTGTCCTGGATTACACAGCTAGTACCTGTCAGAATCAGAACCAGAATCCTGGTCTGTCAGGCCTCAAATGACATGCCCTTAGAACACAGCCATTATGTTCTTCACCATTATGCTAAAATGGAATTCTCATTATCTTGTAACATATGACTAATTTAGAGTATGATGCGGTGACTTTTTAAAGATTTATTTTATTTTAATTTTAGACAGTTTTGCTCATTTTGCAGAAAAGGGGAGCCGGCCTGCATGGAAAGCAAGAAACTGAAACCCAACTAAAAGAATGCTTTTTAGAAGTCTAAAGAACCTTAACAATAAGGGAATCAAGATTTTGATGTTTTAAATGACTTGCCCAAGGTCATGTAATTATGCAGCAAAATTGGGACTCATAGCCAAATGGTCACTGCGAACTATATTAAGGTCACGGGCAAATGATTTCTCAGGACCAAAAGTCCTATGAATATTAAGGATCTATATGTGCACATTGATGCATATACATGATTGCTAAGTTTACAAGGGCAGATGTGATAATTTTCTTTAGATGTCTGCCTGGCATGTGACTGATGACACAGCTGGTTCAACAAACATTGTACGAAGTGTCAAACACTTTGGAGGAAACGGATTGTATCTTATTTACTCAATTAAGCCTATAGAAACCAATTACTGTTTTATTTTGAATGGTAGACACCCAGAAGTCTGCTGTTGGATACCTTTGGGATTCAAAATGTTTTCTGCCTCACTTCTGCTGCTACTTCTCTTATTTCCTCAAAGATCAAGAGAAGGAGAGAAGACTGGGAGCACAGGCCACTTGCCAACCTCTCTTCTCTAACACCGTGTTCTAGCATCACCAACTCAGCTGCCAAGTCCTTTGTAAAAGAGGCTGCCTGCATATCTGCTTTGCCCGAACTCAAGAGTGTGTGTTACAAAAGACAGATGGATTCCATGGTTGTGGCAATGGTGGGAACCAAAAAAGTTAACTCCCTACGCCTGGGGAGGAGAAGGTGGGAATGACGCTCTGGGAAGCAAACAAGAGCACAGGCAAGCTCCCATCCTGCCTGGTGCTCCCATCCTGCCTGGTGCAGTTTCTCTGTTAGTACGCACATTTGGTTTCCAGAAAAGTCCAAACATCTGACCCGGCAGCCCGATGGGAATGTCAGCTCTTCATACACAGAAGTTAGGTAACGAAGCCCTGTCTAATGAAACTGTCAGCAAGTGAGAACCAGGACATACCAATTTAACTCCATTTGTCCGGAGAGCCCTGGACCCAGCTTTCAGAATACAAGTGGCTGTGTTTTTAGGCAATTTGCATGTTGGTTCACAGCTCCCACAAGCAATGCCTAGGTATTATAGGGCTCTTGGGAGGAATTTCTACTTGAAAATGATCTTTGATCTAATCTTTTAAGATATATATTCTTTAAAATATCTTTAAAATATATGTTTATTATGATTCTTCTGTTATTTTCTTCTCAACTGTATTTTAAGCTTCCTGATGGTGGAGGTCATCATTTCTATTTCTTTAAAATTTTTGACTCTGCCTAATAGGGCTGAGTCAGTCTCAGTGTAAGCTCACTAAATGTACAAATAAATGACACACATCTTAGTATAGAAAAATAAAGGGGAAAGTGGTCATTTATTAAAGTCAAATTTACTCAGGTCAAATTCTGTTTATTTTCTGAGGCTTCATAAGGTTAATGAATAAAAAGATGCTCAACATCATTAGTCATTAGGGAAATGCAAATCAAAACCACAACTAGATACTACTCTGTACTCAGTAGTCTGTAATAAGAAAGATAGACAGGAATGGGTGTTGGTGAGGAAATCAGAATCCTCATAATATTGCTGGTAGGAATGTAAAATGATGCAGCTGCTTTGTAAAACAGTTTGGTAGTTTGCTTTGCTTTTCCATTTTTTTTGAAATGTGGAATGCATAGTTTTGAGATGACCTCAATAAAGATTGCCTATCATTCACTGTATCTGAAAATGAGATATCTGTATGTTCCCTGTTTGCTTTAGTCACTTAAGACTTTTATGCAAAATTATTATTATATTTCAACTTGTGATAGTTTGAATTTGCTCTGCTATTAGATGTTTAATGTGATATGCAACATCTAAAGCGTAATATAGAGACTAATAAGTATTAAGTGTTTTTTGATGCCTAAATTATTCTGGAACTTTGTTTTTTATTTTATAGCTGTTTGTTTATAACAGCCTTAGTGAGGTGTAATTAACATGCAATTACTTGCATATAAAATACACAATATAGTAAATTTTCATATACGTATACAATCATGGAACAATACCACAACCAAGATAGCGAGCACATCTTAGACACTGAGAAGTGACTGGTGGTTACATGGGGAGGGGGAAAATTCTCAATCATAATATAAGTTGGTCATGGGGATGGTAGTACAGCATGGAGAATATAGCCAGTGATTCTGTAACATCTTCCTATGTTGACAGATAGTAGCTGTACTAGTGGGGGTGAAGATTTAATAATTTGGGTAATTGGTGAACCGCTGGGTTGTATACTTGAAACCAATCTGGTTGTATATCAACGATACCTCAAAAAAAAAAAGGTTATAAACCAGAAAAAATAAGATAGGGAGCACATCCATTACCCTCAAAAGTTTCCATGCACCCCTCTTTGTAACCCTCTTTCCTGCCCCTCCCCACTACCATGTAACCACTCTGCTGCTAGATTAATTTGCATTTTCTAGAATTTTATGTAAATGGAGTCACACAGTAAGTAACATTTTTGTCTGACTTCTTTTACTCAGTGTAATTATTTTAAGGTTCATCTGTAATTGTTTTGAGATTTATGCATAGTCTGTTCCTTGTTATTGCTGGTTATTATTCATTATATGCAAAACCATAATTTGTTTATCCATTCAGCTGTTGATACACATTTGAACTGTTCATAGTTTTTGGCTAGTAGAAATGGAACTGTTATAAAGCACCTGTCACAAGTTTTTGTCTGGACATAGATTTCTTTTTCTGTTGGGTAATTACCTAGGAGTAGAATGATCAGGTCATATGGTAGGTGTGTGTTTAATTTTTTAGGAAACTGTCAGAATTGTTTCTAAAGTGATTGTGCCATTTAAAATTTCTACCAGCAGTGTATGAGGGTGCCTCCTCCAAAAAAAACTATCTTTAAATGAAAAGGAAGGCCAAGCAGAGAATTAAACTATGCAGAAGAGGTGCTTAAGAGTCAGACATTAACTCTTTGAAAAACAATGAAAAGTGAAAGAAAAGAAACTACATTTAATGTGGTTTAGATGTGTCAGTTTTAAACATCCAATTTCCAAATGATAAACATGAAGCCTAAAACTCCCTTTTGTGCTAACTCACCTAGTTTTATTACAAACAGTGGGAAACAACACAGCACGAAAACTACAATTGCTTCTGAAACGACAATGTGAGGAGCTAATTATAACTTCCTCCATTTATGGAGTACAAAACCTTCCAGTGTAGAGCAGGTAGCAGGTTGCACACTTGATTCCAATTAGTTCCTTCCTGGAGTACTTGCTTATGTAGACCACTATGAGCTATTCAACGTTAAGGCCAACTGAGTGGGACCAGCAGAAAATTGTGCTTAGGCAAAGGGTACATTTCTCAGAGAGGAGCCAAACTAGGCAGGGTCAATTTAACAATGAGTCAACTCAAATTACACAGAGGCTAATCTGCAGAAATATTTAATTAGGAACTTTTAAAAAGAGTCTATATTGGAAAGAAAATAAAATTACTTAAATGCAAGTAATATCAAAGGTCCTATAAAGGTAATCCACCCAACAGGTAACTTCCTACATGTTTTAGAACAGTAGCTGTACATACAGTGACATAAGTGCCATGCTAAATAGCAACCATATGCTTGGTCTGGGTAGTTGGGTGACAATAGGGAAAGGTGGGGAGTATAGTGAACTGGAAAGAGTATATGCTTCTTTTAAAGGGAATTATTCAGTTTCTAATAATCGTATCTTGTATTAAATACAGGCCCGATTTGCACTAAATATTGCCAGATCTGATAATTCAAGGCAAGGTAAACATCCAAATTTTTAGGTGAAATCTGATTTTTAAACATTAGCAATAAATTTTTGTTTTGTTCTATTTTTTAATGCAGCATGGATTAAAAAAGAATATATGTGTAGACCAGATAGGGCTTGTAGGTGGCCAGTTTATAACCTCTGGCAGTGAAGGAGTTCTGGGAAGGCTCTACAATAGTTTCACTCACGACACTGAATGAAATTCTTTTTGATCGAGTAGATCAGATATTCTCTCCACCCTCTTCCCGTTAAGGCTTTCTGTTAAAATGTGAAATAGTTGTAAATATATTGGTTTCTTCAGTCATTAAGAAATAATCAGCCATTACTGCCTTAGCTGAAGTGGAAATAGTCTTTATAAACTTAAAGTTCTAAAAGACACCCAAAGGATGAAGATTTCTCTGGATAGCATAGGTTGCAGATGGCCATCCTACCACTGCTCACATAATTCTAGGGGTGGAGACTTCAGTCCATCCACTCCGTTGTTGGAAGGCTTTAGTTGTAAAAGTTGTATGTGTTAACCCAAAATCTGCTTCACTGAATTCCTCCCCAACTTTTCCCTGGTGGTGTCCTGAAGCTATAACTAATAAGCCTAATAATTCCTTTTTGCTTGGAAATTCTCCAAATATTTGAAGATACTCTTGTTTCACAATTCTTTGTCTAATCTCTGTGGTTCAGTCCTTCCTTGTTCCACAGTCATCTCATTAGTGCGCCCTCTGCTCTTTGAGCAGATCTCTGCTGTAGTGCTTGTGCATGGTTTTGTAATTTATCTGAACACATGACTATCTCCTAGTTTCATGGGGCATTGGGAGCAAGCTCTATGCATTTTTGTACTCATATCTTTTCATATTGCTTGGTACATAGGAGAAACTGAGAAATTATGGAAAGAAAGAAGGAAGGAAAGAAGATAAGAAAAAGGAAAGGAGAAAGCAAGCAAGGAAAAGAAAGAAACAACAAAAGAAAGGAAAGAGAGAGAGAGAGAAAGAAAGGGAGGGAAGAAGGAAGGAAGGGAGGGAGGGAGGGAGGAAGTCTACCACCTCTTCTACGGACAGGCCTCTATCAATGTGATTCCTAAAATGTGGGAGTTGGAACCATGGTCTGAACATGGAATAGAAGGATGTGGAGTTAGTTCTCTTGACCTAGATACAGGGTGGGTACTGATGCACCCTAAGGTCACATCAGCTTTTCTTTGGCCAGAGATATTCTTGTTGGCTGTGAAGATAGCTATGACTCTCCTTGTTTTGTTTTTCCCCTGTACCTTGTTATTTGCAGCCCCACTGATCTGTGTTGGATCAGTTTTGTTGTCTGCCCAGTGCACTGTCTCACTGCCTCCCTGAGAGCTCAGTTGCTGTCAGAACTATGGCCATTGCAGAGCTGTTGGTGAGAGCCAGCTGAGATCGCTGTCTTGGGGGAATGCAATTGTCATCATAGAGTACCGTGAATAGGACAGGCCTGGGGCGGTTCCACAGCAGAGGCTGCTTTGGAGTCAAGGAAGGGATGCAATTCATAGAGAGGACCGGGCTGAAAGGAAAGGTTTGATAGATGTGAATTTTACTTCCTTACGAATTTGTCTAGGGCTCAGTAGCATCCTTATACTTAAGAAATGTGACAGTTACTCCTTGCCTTTCTCCAACACATACTGAATTAACTAATCATTTTGCAGGTACTCCAAATTTTGCCATAAGCACCTCCAATTTTCTTTCAGGAGAGAAACGTACAGGCATGTTTTTCTCATCAAATACGATGTTATGCATATTATGCTTCTCACACTGACCTTCAATCCTTATTAAAATAATGTTGACAATAAATAACATCACACTGTTCTGCATAGCAGGTTATGCTTTGCAAAGCACTTTCATGTAAATCCCTGGGTCCTCGAAGTAGCCTGATGAAAATCATTAGGTGGTCATGCTTAGGTCTACCTGACCAGTGTTCACAGCCATGGACAATGAAATGGGCTCTAGTGCTTCATGAAAGCCATGCTTACTCCAGGGGATCTTCAGCAACAGACCTTAAAGGAATTGATGGAAGAACTTTTGGTGTGAGGATGTCTTTTGGAAGTTTCATTTTTTTCTCAGTAAAGTTATTATCTAACCTTATGATTCTAATTCAAGATTGGTAAAAGCTTGCCTTTTTCAAAACTTAGGGCTAGCTTCCATTGTGTCTTGTATTCATTTTTTCTTTATAAAAAATAAAGGAAATAGAATTGGATAGTTTACTCCAAAACAGGAAACTATTGTTTGTCTGTAATATAGGCAATATTTCACATATGCCAGACATTTAAAAAATATCTAATGAAAGATTCCTTGGATTAAAAAAATCTTTTACTTCTTATTTATCTTTTTTCCATTTAATGAGAAACATATTAAAATCTATAATTTGCTAGGATCAGATCTTGTGGACCTTGATATTTCTGTGCTGTAGTCATTAAATTTATATATATGATGTTTTTATTGTCTCAAACACCTCAGTGGCATGTCAAGGAGATTTCGGTTTACTACTCTTTGATTCAATGATACTTAGGAAGATAATTTTATGTTGTCCAAGTGGTCGAGGTTTTGTTTTTATTTTGATCTTGTTCACTGTTGGCTATTAATTTCTAATTTGCTTTGTTTCAATCAGCTCAAAGGTTTGATAATAACTTTTTATGGTTAAGTGAAAGGAGTTAATAAGAATCAATTAGGCGAAATTCAGTGCATGTTGTTGAAGGAATGTACAAATCAACATGTTCAGGCAATATTTATTGGCCACCTATTAGATACCAGGTACACTGTTAGGCAGGATAGGGTGGAGAGAAATAGATTCCTTCTCTGCTTGCAAGAACTCTACAGGGTAGGAGGGGAATTGATTATGCTATGAATTAACAGGAATTGTATTTATTGCCTTTCAGCTTTGAGATTCACTATAAGGTTGCAACACATCCAGTAGGACTGCTAAACTGCAAGTCAGGGTTGTCTTCATGAATGGGACTCTTTGCCCAACTAAGGAACTTCCCTGTTTTCTAATTGTTTTAAAATGAAAAACCTTCAAAACTGTAGAGAGGTATTTACCGTGAGGCTTATGAACCCAATTGAGGCTCCTCACTGCACAGATGCCTTACAAGGCCCTGGCACTGGGTCCATGTAGTCATATATACCTTTATCAAATTTGCAAAGGTAATTATTTCACAATTCTTTTTCTTCAACAGATTTTACTGGCTCTGTCTCTGTGGCAACCACATTTTTTCCTGCCATCTGTGTTACCAGGTAGCAATTTATTTAAAGGTCACTAGATAACCTTTGTTGATTGCTTTTCATTGGTAAATTAACATATATCTCTGAATAGTTAGTCACTGAGTATTGTTAACAACTTTGTATGTTTACACATATACTTAATGGCTTGCTGTTGGCACATATTCAGCGAATCCAACTCCTTGAAATAGTCACTGAGTATTATTAACAACTTTGTATGTTTACACATATACTTAATGGCTTGCTGTTGGCACATATTCAGCGAATCCAACTCCTTGAAAGTCTTTCAGCTGTTCTAAGATGTAGCCAAGAAACTGGAATTAAATTCTCAGGGAATTACTGCATTTATACCAATAAAATATACTATAAGAAATTGAAATGCGCAGTGTTAGAAAAAGCCTGAAAGTTGTTCTTCAGTTCTAACACTGATGCATGATATATATTTTCTGTGATAAATTTATAACTGGCACTTGGCATTGTGGGAGACTAGAAAGGTAATTTTAACAGTGAATCCCTATGGGTGAAAGATTTAAGCTCCTGGAGCACAAGTGTTTATCCTTTTTTCTCCGGCACCTAGCACACTGCCTGGCATTCAATAACTGCTGAACGATATTTTTTAAATACATAAAAGGGGACTGATGGGAAACCTGCCAGGAATTACACAAAAAGAGCCAGCATGGTTGAAATTTTTGGTGGTCCATTACCATACAAAATGATAGCAAGACCCCACTTTTGATCAGTTAGAGAAAATATTGCAACTCAAAAAAGGCTGATGCTTTGCATAAATAGTATTAATGACAAAATTATAATAGCCCCTTCTTGGGACAGCCAGAGCTCCCACCACCATTTTGTGAGGACTGGTAGATTGAGTAGTTGATTATGATCAATGTATTAATTATGGAGAGAGGCCAACACCAATGAAATAATTAAGTATATCAACATGGTTGGCCTATGATCGCTGTGATCATCATGTGTATCAGGGCTGCCATGAAGATGGAGGGTTAGGCTCCACTTCTGCCCAGAGCAGGGTGTTGGTGGTGCTGTGTGGGGGTCTCGGATTTCTGCAATACTCTCACAATTAGTGCCCAAGAAAAGAGAATATGGACAAACTTTCTCAAGCTTTTCAACAACTGGCATGTTACTTCTTTCATTTTTTTTCTCCTGGAAGCAAATTTATTTAGCGATTTCTCCTCTTCTTTCCACCCTCTCTCTCCATGTCTCTGTCTCCCATTTTCACCAATAATGAGTAAACATGTAATTTGAACTCAAAATATCATTTGTATGAGAGGACTTAGCATGTAATTTCAATTTACCTCCTGCACATATGGTAGATGGTTCAGCTGCCAGAATTTCAATGCAGGATTTCTTTAAAATCTAGAAAGAGAGGAAAAAACAGTCAAAGCACAGCATTCTACTTAAAACACAGAAGTAGGGTTTTGGTTTTAGCTACTAAGAAAGTTAGGTTCAAGGATGTTATATTATAGTGGGTAGGTACTGGGCTACATCTTTATTAGTATAATTAATGTCAAACATTTAAACGAGCTGACATTGTGTTCGATGCTTTTGGGTGTCCCAAATGCCGTAAGAACTATTCATTCATCTTTTCTTTTGGCAAATATTTACTGAGTCTGTGATATGCCAGTCCTCGTTATGGAGAGATTAAACATCTAGTTGGGGAAATGAGACTTACACTTGAAAACAGAAATAACAATGGCCAGTCGTATGTGATAGGTGCCAGGGTGGAGGGGCAGACAATAAGAACTAAGGGGCTCATGGGGGGAAATCACTGAGGGCTATACATCGGGAAGAGGTTCTTGGAATGGGTAGGACTCAGGCAAGTGGAGAGGAGTGAGTTAGGGGAAGGTTGGGGTCCAGGCGGGGAACGACATGAGCAAAGGTGAGAAAGTAGAGATACATACCTCTTCAGCTGGCATAAAAGGAGCTTGAGAAGTAGAAATGAACGAGTGATAGTAGAAAAAGCTGGAGAGGTAGGATGGGGATGGCCAGCCCTGTTGAGGATCATTTTCAGATTACTCAGTGTCCTTTTTGTTGGACAAGTCTGGAAAGATGTTTCAGGAGAGGGCTCTGAAGGCTGCTTGTTGTGTCTCACTCTGCTGGAAGACCCTTTAGCCTTACGTAAATGGAAATGTACTTTCATTCCCAAATGAGACTCTTGTAGGCTTGAGTGGAGAGCCTGGGAGAACCCCGTAGCCACACAGGCATTAATAATTGAAGGCTGCTTCTGGCCAAAGCAGGGTATCTGACTGGCAGGGATTCCTGCCTCTTGTTGAAGGTTAATTCTAAAATTTCAGTCAAGCATTTTGAACAAGTATAGGAAACTAAGTTAATACCAAGCACATAAAGTATCTTTATATGGGCCTTACTTAATTTGGAAGTTGAGGTGGTTCAGAGGGCTGAAGGAAATCATTTCTTTATTTATGAAAGGGGCATTTGTTAAAGGAATTAATAGTGAAATTATAAAATTTTAAGTCCATAAAAAAATAAAGCATCTTTTAGCATTGGTAAATACCCATTTATTTGCATTTATATTTTTATTTATATATGCTTTTTTGTTCCAGCATCTAAGTGATACATATATAAAATATAATCAAATAAAAGATATGACAAATTACGAAAGGGGAGAAAATGAATTTAAAGGAAAAATAAGGGGAAGATTAAGTAAGGAGTGAGAATGGTATAGAAAAAATATACTGTGAAGAGCATATTTCCTTGCTAGGAGTGGCTCATGGATTTAGTTCTAAAACCTTTTAGTAGCAAATGAGGAGGACAGATAATATTTACGAGATTTTTCAATCTGTAGAATAAGAACAAATCAGTTTCTTAGAAGAGATAATATTTACCCATTCCAGAGAGAAATCTGGGTGTCCTCATAGGGAAGCATTGTGAAAGGAAATGAAGAACATGCTTCAGAAAATCTGATGTACACACGATAAAACACTGAAATGTATCCACTGAAACAAGTTCCTTCATAACTGTGTATTTTAGGTAAGTATATGCCAGAAAATCATAAGCAGGATTTCTCTTTCTGACAATTCTAAAATTCAGATTTCCAGCTATTTTCCTGACATTCCTTTCTACTCTTGTACAATTTAAAGGTATTTTCATACTTTGATTCTTCTGTTTTCAGCTGCTAAATGATTCTGCAGCAGGAAGCAGTTTGTTTCCTTTTGTCAGCATTTTCCTCATTTCCTTGGCCTCTGGCTTCCCCAGCCACCTCCGCCTACCTCAAACACAGGTGTGGCCTCAGTTCTCTGATAGTCGCAAGCCTAGCAGATGTCAGGTGGGTATGCCTGCCCCAAACTCCCCATGTCCTGTGTCCACCTGTTAAGAGTCAGTGGTCCTCACACACCCATCTCTGGGGACCTGGTATCACCACTGAGCTCTTGAGTTCTCTACATGGTTGTTCTGACTTGGGATCAGAGATCCCAAGGATATACCCTGGGCATCTGTTTCCCTGCTGTCTTCTCCATCTTCCCCTTTCCAATGGCTGATCCAATCCTTTAGGTCTTTTATGTATTGCAGCAACATCGTAAGACTGGGGTTTGCCAGGATCCTGGTGTATGATGACTCATAGCCCAGATGACAACAGTCCTGCTTGAATTGTGATGACTGGCCACCCTCTTCCTCCCCAGTTTGCTGCTGTTGGGCTCTTCCTGCCTGAAGGGCCACCTCAGCCAGAGGTTGCCATGACTGAGGGAGGTAGCCACCCCCTTCAACATGTCCTCAGATACTATCTCCAAACAGGCCACATGAGAAGAAACAGAATTAATCCATAGGGAGAAATTTAATTAAATAGTAGAACTAGAACAACACGAAGCTATTCTTTGATGTTTCAAATAAAATTCCTCAGGCATTTGGCATCCCTTAATAAATCATTTTATCATCCATAACTAAAGAGTTCAAAACAGTCCAAGAAAAAAATTGAGCTATTGAATCTATTCTGTCCCCATTCCTCAAACTCCATCAAAACACATACATGGAATTTTCACCCATGTAAGTTCTTGACTTTGAACCAACATTTTCAAACCAACATTAACACTTAAGCAGGGATGGGTAAAGGAAGCACCTGTGAATCTTTGACCACAAACACACACTAGCAGATTTTGTCACAATAAACACACGCTGTATTATTCTCTCAAAGTGTCTGCAATTAGCTGATAAATCTAAGGAGTGTATGAAGGGCCAAAAAATGTCAGCCAAGTGCTGTGATTCAATCCAGTAAAAACACTGCTTTCCTAATCTTAACTTAAAACATCTGGAAGGGATGTATTGCAGCCAATGGAGTAATATTTATCAGTGAGGGGGTTGGGCAGGATTTGTCTGAGACTGTGGCTTCTATTAGTTTGAAATGTCTGGTTTCAAAAGGTAGGAAGTCACCATGGCACTGGGTGGATTTGGGGGGTTCCCTTGGTTATTAGCAGCCCAGACTGTGTGGTAATCAATCTGAACTGTGGCAGACAGCGGATCAGCTTAGGAGACTGGATCGGGGTGAGGAGGCAGAGGGCCTGTCCCCCACCTGGGCAGTGGTAGCCATGGGAGAGGTGTAGACACAGCCTGGGAAACTGCTGAAGGGATGTCACTAGATGGAGTGGAAGAGACTCACACAGGGCCAGGGTGATGTCAGAGGTCAGAGAATCCATGACCAGCCACTGAGACTGGGTGAGGGCCACATCCCTTCAATATAATCCAGTGTGAGGAGCTGGGTTTTGGCCCTGGTCCTCTACTTATCTGCCTTATGGTCCTTGACAAATCCTGTAACGTTTCCAAACCCCAATTTTGGGGAAGAGTTTAATACACTGAGTAATAGCTTAGAATTTTTAAATTGCTTGGGTCAACTCGTTCATGAGCAGTGTGACCTTGGGCAACTCCATAATCTCTCTGAGTCTCTGTTTCCTTGTCTGTGAAAGTGTGATAAGAACAGTACCTACTGCAGAAGGTTGTGGGGTTGTAAGGATTAAATGAGAATATATAGGCACAGGCCATAGCACAGTGCCTGGCAGCCCTCAACTAATGGGAGCTGTTATTCTTAAGAACCTGGGCTCCGGAGATAGGTCAGATACTCTTGGACTCCGGATTTATGTTCAAATCCAAGCCCTGGTCATGTGGACTTGGACAAGTTATTAAACCTCTGTTTAAAGAATCTCATTCTTTTTCTGTAAAATGGGAATAAGAAAAGCACTGACCTCAAAGGGCTTATATGATGGTAAAATGAATAAGAGAAATGAATAGAGAGTATTTAGTTTGTAAAATCAATTGGACTTAGATGGTAAAATTCATATTGGATTGGAGAGTAAGGAAAAGAGTCAAAGCAAGGAAAACTGACGAGGTTTTGGCCTTACAGACAGAACCAGACAGGTGTTAATCGGTCAACAGATAGTGTGACTTAACAACCTTGGGCCACCAGCCAACAAGTGCCATTATGAAAGTAAGGCACCCAGAAATGTGCTTGGAACAGCCTTAGTGTAAAGCACTTATGAGAATGTCTACATATATTTGCTCTTCAAACAACGATAGCTGTTACTATTACAGCCAACCTTTAACCAACCTGGGTTTGAACTGCACACGTCCACATATATGTGGATTTTTTTCAATAAATATATTGGAACATTTTTGGAGATGTGCAACAATTCAAAAAAATATTTTTTTCCTCTTCTTCCTTTATTGTAAGAATACAGCATATAATACACATAAATACAAAATACGTGTTAATTGTTTATGTTATCAGTAAGGTTTTGGTCAAGAGTTGGCTATTTGTAGTTAAGTTTCTGGGGAGTTAAAACTTACACACAGATTTTCGACTGTGCAGGGGATCGGGGCCTCTAAACCCTGTGTTGTTCAAGGGACAACCATCCTTCTGTCATGACCACTGCTACCTTTGGGCAAAGACAGTTACTCATGCTTCTATGCCATCACCCACCACTGGCCTTGTGCTTAATCGTATTTGCTGAAAAACACTGAAAGAAGGTTAATACTTTCCTACTATCTTTTGGACAGATTTCAAAAAGAAGATATATGGGAAAGCATATTTGAAATCCATAAAGAAGGACATGAGCTATTTAATAAACTTAGAACAAAATCTATTGCGGACCAGTCCAGGCTGTATATAAGAGTTTATTTTTTTGGATTCTAAAATCTAAGGTCCTTTTACATAAAGTTCTCAGTTTAGGCAGAAATTCCTCAAGACTTCTTAAAGAACTGTGAATATCTCCATGGAGTTATCAGGAATCTGCCCTTACCAGAGGCACACTTAAGTTTCTTTTTCTAGTTGCTTGCCTTCTTCTCCAGTAAACAACCAGTTATATTTACTTGGCTATTTCCTGCTAGAGAATTTTTTTTGTGTTAATAAAAGACCA